CGGCAACAGGCTCGGGCCCACGGCGAGCGGTGGCGACTCGCGCACCACGCTCGATGGCACCGCGGATTCCCCACAGCGGCGAGGACCCTCGGAAAGCGCGTTCCTCCCTCTTCCCGGGTTTCGGCACCAATGTAGCAATGTTCAGGGAAGAAGGAGGCGGGAACCGACGGACAATCAAAATAAAACTTTTTTTAAATGAAATAAACACAATACCTGCCAGCAGTCCCTCATGGAACTGCTGGCTACCCAAAATAAAATATAACTACCTGCCAGCAGCCCCTCACGGACGACTGCTGGCTACCAAAATAAAATAAAACAAAACACAAACAAAAGCAGGCCTGTTCCTCTCTCCATCATCCACTCCGTCGCTCCTCCTTTATGCTTCCGCTCCTCCGTGAGAGATGCGAGACCGGTGTGCTTCCCAGGTGCTGCTCATTAGCAATCGCACCACCGGCCTCGCGACGTTCTCTCACGTCCCTCGGCCATCCTGCTCACCACACACCCATAGCTTGATATTCAGTGCTAGCTTATCCATCTCAGATGCAGTGAAAAATGCATATGAGATGGGGAGCACGGACAAGTATGAAGATGTGGCCCTTCTTCTTTGTGGTACAATCAAGAAGACATACAGAGAGTCAAATTCTCTTCCTTGGCCTCCCAAAGCTGATGATCTGGTGATGTCCTTGGATGACCTCCTCCCATCTAATCTCATGAGGTTCCTCCTGACCCTCATGATTTCTGGTGATGCTGACTTGGAGAAGAGTGAGAAGACAAGACACCTTGTGCTGTCTATAAGTCAGGTATGACAACTCTCCACTTTGGTATATTTTTCAATATTGCATATGTTTTATTTTGACCACCAGCATAGTTGATATTGTAACGTTGCTCTCTTGATAACGAAATCCTCCTATTAAAATAGGCTTTATATGCTTTTTGTCTACACGAACTATACAATACATTGTGTACTATACATACTATACATATAACTATACATTGTGCACTTACCGTCAGAAGACCTCTTTTATCACCTAATTTATTTACATACACCGCATAACAACAAAGCGGGATGTGATTGACAGCAGGTTGGTGACAATATGAACTGATGTATACATGTTGCTTCTAAGGCAAAAAGCCCAATAACCTTATTTTCTCAAATGAGTTGGGCATCTTTTGTTCAGTGTGCCAAGAAATGGGTTAACCTCAACACTTCTGAGAGTTTAATAGCTGAAAAAGACATAGCAACATTTAACTTAACAGAAACCTTGAGAGACCAATATCTGCCAGTTAATATGGGCTTCCATAATGCTACATGCTCTTCAAGAAAGATATTTCTAATTGTGTGTTGGTGCATCATGTAGGCTATATGTGTAGTTAAAATGTATGTTAAATAAACCTCACACTACCAGTGAATCCTGATTACACGATGTGATTTTTAATTAATATATATTTTTGAACACATTGTATCTTAAAATGTATTATTTATTTAAAATATCTACGTTATATTTTTAATGTGCTACAATTGACGTTGGAAACAAGCAGTAATGTGCTCAACAACAATTTATATAGCCAGTTATGGAAAATGGAAGAGATCTATCAAATCAAAAACTAAAGGAGAAAAAACAGACTGCCTATGTAAATGTTCTTTTTTGGATATCCAGGGTGGCAACCAATATAGCCAGAAAAGACATACATGTGACAATATTTCAGGTGGGGATCATCAACATTTGCTTCTTAGACATCTTAAAGACTGTAAAAATACAAAAGTTAGAAAACATATATCGATGGGGTCCATAGGGGAGGAGTTCCAGTGGTCCAAGTTACCAATTTTTTTAAAACATTTTTTGGTGTTTATTTGAGTTTGTATGCACTATACATCATCTAATCATGACAATCCTCATATCTATCAATTCCTCATGCAAAGACGAAGAGAAAATGGGGTAGATTGTGTCTGTAGGATGTATTGTTCAGATTCTATGTAGATTTTAAGTTTTCATTTTCCGCAGCCGAAATTCAAGCACGGACACTAAAGATGATACAAAAAATCACATATGGGACAATAATTGGCGTGGGGAACATCAAAATTCCTTTTCTAGACACCTTAAGGATTACAAAAAACTAGGTTAAAAAAATATATCTTTCGGGTGCAGGTGAACCCCCCCTTCCTACCAGACTACACGCTGAAAAGGCAATGCCAACAAGGCAAAGCTTGCAGTTGTCCTGCAGGCTTTATATATAACGTTGTATACGAGGCGCATGCACACAAAGATAAGTTTCCTGCCGCCAGCGCGTCCGCATCTCGGCCAGATTGTGTTCGTTACTAGGCAACTTATAGACGCGCGAAGTCCGCGAACACACACGGAAGTTCGGCCACCGCGACATCGCGCGAAAACGCGTCGTGATGGAGAAAGTAAGTTGGAAGAAAGCTCGCCTAACATTTTTAGACTAGAACATTTAATATATAGCCCATCGTATACATTATTGGTGCAGTCAAAAACTCTACAACTGCTTTGCAGTTGCAAATGTTATTGGGTATGGGAAGGAATGAA